ATTTATATACCACAGCTTGTTCAGCCATTCCCCAGTTGATGTGCATCCCCTCAATTTCCAATTCTTGGCCACCACAAAAAGAGCTGCTATAAATATTTTTGTACATGTGGGTCCTTTTCCCTTTTTCATGATGTCTTTGGGATATAGCCATGGGCAAGTCACTTAGTCCCGATTGCCTTCAATAAATAAGTAAATTTTAAAAAGAGAAAACCATTTAGGTGACAGGTGATGAGGGCCTGTGCTAAGGTGGTAGCTGTATGAGAGGAGAGAAGGGGATGATGTGAGAGATATTGCAAAGGTAGAAAAGACAGGATCTGACAACTGCTTGGATATGTGGGATAGAGGAGAGTGAGGAAATGTCAAAGTGAGGAACCTGGACAGTCAGCTCTTATTAAACTGTGGAAAAAATTTAGCAACAGTAAAAGGTTCCTGAACACACAATGACCAAAAATTAATTCAAAATCAAACAAGTAATGAATCTGAGTTGTTTCTATCAGTGCTTGCCCGTGGTGCACTTTCACTGCAGCCTTGGTTCTGAACATAACTCATGCAAACTGCACTAAGCATTTCCTTAGGTCATACAACGCCAATAAACAGGGCCAAAATCGAAAAGGGGTTGCTAGTGGAAAGAATTTAAGAAGCCCTGGACTAGAAGAATGGTGGGGCCTTCACAGAAATAGGGAAGTTTGGAGGAAAGGAGAATTTGGGGAGAAAAATAATGAGTTCAATTTTGTACATGCTGGATTAAAATTTCTATATAGATGAACTTCCAGATCTCTATATCCAACTCCAGTCTCTCTCCTGAGCTTCAGTCCCATATCACCAGTTGCCTATTGGATATTTCAAATTGGATGTTCCAGATTTATTTTAATCCAGCATGTACAGAAAACAGCACTGGGAATACAAAGAAAGGCAAAAGACAATCTCTGCCTCTCCCTGGCCAATGGGGAAGACAGTATGCAAACGACTATGTACAAACAAGATGTACAAGGGTTAAGTTGGAGATAATTAGCATAGGGAAGGCCTTGGCATTAAGGGGATTGGGAGAGGTTTCTTAGAGAAGATTTTGTTTTTGTTTTGTTTTTAGCTGAGACTTGAAAGAAGCCAATGAAGCCAGGAGGCAGAGATGAAGAGGGAAAGGATTCCAGACATGAGGGACAGCCAGTGGAAATGCAAGAAGGTGGGAGATGAGTGTCTTGTTCCGGGAAAAACCAGGAGACCAGTGTCACTGGATTGTAGGGTACCTGGAGGAGAGTGAGGTACAAGAAGACTGGAAAGGTAGAAAGTGGTCGGGTTATAAAGGACTTTAAAATCCAAACAGAGGATTTTGTATTTGATCTTTGAGGTAATAGCCACTGGAGTTTAGAAAGGGGGGAGGGAGAGGGTGGGCTGACATAGTCGGTCCTATACTTTAGGAAGATCATTTTGACAGCTGGGTAGAGTATGGATTAGAGTGGGGAGAGACGAAGCAGGGAGACCAGCCAAAAGACTACAGCAAAGCATCTTCTATTTGCTTATAAGGCTTACCATTCCTCCCCACAACCCTCCTCTAGTAATAGGCTTCTTAGATGTAAAATCTGAAAAATGACTAAGCTTAGAAAGCTAGTTATCAAGAATAATATTTTCTTTTTAAATATTTGGTTTGTATTTTTATTTTATTGACACTATTTCTTTTAAAATTATCACTGTCACTTCCCAATGCTTCCAACTACCATTCCCACAGCTCTCTCCTTGGAGAAAGAAAGAGACAGACAGACAGAGACAGAGAGAGAGAGACAGAGACAGAGACAGAGACAGAGAGAGACAGAGACAGAGAGACAGAGACAGAGAGAGACAGAGAGACAGACACAGAGAGAGACAGAGAAAGACAGAGACAGAGACAGAAAGAGACAGAGACAGAAATACAGAGAGAGAGAGAGACAGAGACAGAGAAAATTAAGCAAAATACATCAATACATTAGTCACGTCTGAAAAGTATAAGTCCTTCTTTGCACCAACAGTCTACCGCTTTTCTACTAAGAGGTGGGAGGCACACTTCACCATGCATCTTTTGGTATCAGTTCACTGACCGGAGTTGGGAAGTCTTTCGGTGTTGTTTACCTTTGCCTTATTGCGGTCATTCTGTAAATTATTCTTCTGGTTCTGAATAATCTTTAGAAACAGAGAATACCTCTGAGGACAGGGTCAACCACCCTATCAGTGACCTTGGGGTATCCTGGGGTCTCTTGCACTCTCCCATGGGTTGGGGTCAACACCTCCTTGCCTCGCCCCTGCCTCCCTCCTTTCCCTGCCCCACAAACCATGGCTTCTTTTCATATCATTTGCTTGACTTGCCCCCAGTTTGGAGTGCTTCCCTTCAGAGCAAAAATTCCTGGTTAACTAACAGCTCTGATCTAGAGTGTAGTGTTGATTTTGAGACGCCTCCTTTCTCAGGGCTCACTCCTGACACTTTTAGCATCTGAAGATGCCTTGTCAGTCTCCTTTGCTGGTTCATCATCCATATTACATCCCCTAACTAGTGCTCCCCCAGATCCTGTCCTAAGCCTTCCCTTCTACCTCTGTTCTTTCTTTTGGTAACTTCAACCGCTCCTATAGATTCAACTCTTAATGAAATTGAGCCTGACCTGAAATTGAGTTAAATGTAGCCTAAATCTCCCATACTCACAGACTGTCGAGGCCGGAAGAAACCTCAGAGACCGTCTTGTTTCTCACTCCCTTATTTAATGGTAGAGGAAACAGCTTCCCAGGGTGTCCAGGCAGGGACCCAACTTTAACTCCTCTTCCCTCTCAAGGGCCCTTTCTGCCCTGGCTCTCTTCCCTAACTCCCAGGATAAGAAGGGAAGGGCAAAGCCCAAGGTTGCTGCAATGGTGCCACCTATCAGTATGGTCTGTCCCCAAGAGAAGCAGTGAGAGAGGGAGGAGGGGACATCAAAGGTCGTGTATTCCTGGGGATGCTTCTGTTTCCCCCATCTCAGGGACTTTTCTTTCCCTCAAAACTTTGCCCAACCAACCTGCTTCAACTTCCCCAAGGAGCAGAGTTGGGCTGAAGATAAAAATATTAAATTGGACAAGGTTAAGCACCTACTCTTTGAACATTCCACCAGAGCTGGGTGATGCAGTGATGAGTGATGAGCACTCAGCCTGAATCAGCAAGACCTGAATTCAAATCCGGACTCAGACACTTCCAAGCTGGTCAAGTTACTTATCCTCTGACTGCCTGAGTCATCTGTCAAAAGGAGATTATAGGAGCACCTACCTCACAGGGTGGTTAAGAGGATAAAATCATATACTATTTGTTAAGTGCTTTGTAAACCTTAAAGAGAGAAGGGAACAAGTATTTATTCTGCACCTACTACATGGCAGGCACTGTGCTAAGTGCTTTACAAATTTTATCTCCTTTGGTTAACAATCTGGAGGAGCGGGTGCAAAGATCAGTAAATCCTGGTTGTACCATCATGGACCTACTGTGTCCATGTCACAGACTACACCCAGTGTAGTCTGGTGTGTTGGGGGTGGGGGTGGAAGGCATAGAGGAAACACAACATGTGTACAAGTAACTGAAAAAGGAATGAATAGGAGATGCCTCTGTACTTGTTAGGCACTTAATAGATGCTTATTGAGTGGAATAGGAGCATGGTGCAGAGGTTAAGTAGCATTTCTGTAGCACTTTTACGGTTTGCAAGGGGGCAGCGAGGTGGTGTAGCGGATAGCGCACTGGGCCTGGGGTCAGGAAGACCTGAGTTCAAATCCCACCTTAGACATATACTAGCTGTGTGACCTTGGGCAAGTCACTTAACCATGTTTGCTTCCATTTCCTTATCTGCAAAATGAGCTGAAGAAGGAAATGGCAAACTACTTCAGTATCTTTGACAAGAAAATCCCAAATGGGGTCACCAAGAGCTGGAAATAACACAGCAAAATTAAGGTTTGCAAGCATTGTTCATTTGATCCTCATTGATAACCCAGGGAGATTGGTGCTAACATTAACCCCACTTACAGATGAGGAAACTGAGACTGAGAAGAGGTTAAGTGACTTGCCCTGGGTCACACAGGTAGGAAGTATCTGGGGCAGGATTTGAACTTGAGTCTTCCTAGCTCTGGGGCCAGTGCCCTTGTCCATTGTGCCAACTAGCTATCTCTAGGGCTTGAATCCTGGCTCTACCATTTTTTAATCCGTGTGACCTCAGGTAAGCTACTTTTCTTTCCTTGATCTCGTTTTCTTCATCTACAGCATCAGGGACTTGGACTTCCTGCTTTAAGGGCCCTTCTAGCTCTAAAACAGAGGTTCTTATGAAAGAAACTTGGTCTGGAAATTAGGAGACCTGAGGTTCTAGTGCTGATGCTCCCATTAGCTCACTAAGGGATATTGTACGAGTCACTGCCCTTAGCCAGGCCTTTGTTTCCTCAGGTCAAATGAAGAGAATTACGCATGCCTTGGCTGCTTCCCAGGGGTGTTGCTGAGATTAGAGGAGATAGGGGAAATGAAAAAAGGCAGGAATGTAATAAAGCTCTAGGCCAGTGCAGGTTGCTGTTAATAAGGGAATCAGGTATTTTAAAAGGTAATATGTCCCACAGCTCCTTCCTAGAGGAATGAATGCTTAGGGAAATTTCTGACAGTGGAGCAGACTTTCTTCTCAGCCCAATATTGGTCACTGGTGACATCTGGCCAGACACATCCAAGAAAGACCAGAGTCCCAGACCTTCCTGGGCCAGACATTGTCCTTAGCTTGGGCAGAGGACCATAACCATCTATCTACCCCTGTGTCCTTTGAGATCCCTCTGCCTCAGTGGTCTCTGGGTCCTAGTTGATTCCCCTCCATCACCTATGGTTTGCTGACCACCAGCTCTGGGGTTGTTTTTGTTTGTTTTAAGGGTAGGGATGGTTGAACTTGCAGGGCGAGTCTGAATGACTCAGAACTGGAGGGGCCAGGGAGGGAAGGAGGAGGGGGCTAAAGAGGAAGAGGAGGCCTTGGTCTGAATAGGAGCAGGGATCCCTCATCATGGCCCTGGAGGTGAAGGTGCAGAGGGTGACAGGGCTTCCTGGAACCCATGAAAGACAAGTACAGCTCAGCTTCCGAGGTGAGATGAAGGTGGAGGGATTAGGAAGCCTAAGATTGGAACGATGGAGAGGGCTGGAGGAACTACCTAAGGTGTCTCTTGCACCCAACCCAATCGCTATGGTTCCTACCTCCTCCTTAAATTCCATTGCTTCTGACCTTTGAGCATCCTGTCTTCATCCCCAAACCACTGCCTCTGACCTCCCTATATCCCCCAGCCCAGATATTCCCCGGAATGAGGGTGGGGATGGGAAGAGGAGGATGGTAGGGAAAGCCTGGCTTCTTAAGTAGGGACTGGCAGGAGAGGAGAGAAGAAAGAACAAATTTAGGAGAGTCCAGGAATTCATTCATTTGAGTCACACTACAGGTTTTACCCAGAAAACAAGGAGAATTCATTGTGGCCATGAAGCTGATTTTGATGAGGTCAGTAAAGGGAGGTAGGGTCAGTACTGGGGCTGGGTTTGTTGGGGAGAGAATTCAGTTCTGGAGGGGCTTGGTTCTGATGTTGAGGGGGTCAATTCTGGACTTGGGGGAATCAGTTCTGCAGGGGGAGGGCTTGCTCAGTCCCCGGTCGTGGGGGAGAGAGTCAGGCACCTTACTGTGCTCTCCCCCCACTTCAGTTTTTCCGGTGGCCCCATTATGGGGCTGTGCTGGCTCAAGAGTTCCTGTCCATACAGGTCATCAACTGCAGCCAGCTATTCAGCCCTAGGTAAGTTGGGCGCCTGAGAGGCATAAGGTGCAGGGGAATGAGAGGGTTAAAGAGACGGAAGGGACTGAGCAGCTTAAGGCCATTAAGAAAATAAGACTATGCTGTAAAGAGGACGGAAGGGCTGGGAGGACTGGGGTGCCCCAGAGGCCTAAGAGGGCTAAGGGAGCTGAAGGGAGGCTGAGGCCCAAGCATGGCTCACCCAGGACCTTGGCAGGATCCTGGGAACGCTGGTGATCTCCCTACAGCACTTGCAGAGTGTTGGGCATCTGGTTTTGAAAGAGGCTCTGGTGGACAGGAACCAATGTTTGTCCCGGGTAAGTGTCCTCGGCTCGTGGGCGGAGACCAGGGGCTCCTTGCTTTGGCTAGGGCTATGGTTCTGGGGCTGGGGAGGTGGAAGAGAGAAGGAATCTATCCTGCCTCCCATAAAGAGAGCCCTCCCTTTCCCCCACGTGACTCCCGGCATCAGGGATTGGGGCCCCCAGAAATCAATGTTAATCCTAGGAGGCACAGTGTATAGAAAACTAGGAAAACCTGAATTCAAATCCAGTCGCAGACATTTACTGGCTCTGTGACCCTGGGCAAGTCACTTAACTGTCTGCCTTAGTTTCCTCAACTGTAAAATAAGGATAATAACAGCACCTGCATCCTAGGGTGGTTGAAAAGATCAAAACAGGTATTTATAAAGTGCTTAGCACAGTGCCTGGCACATAGTAGGCACGTAATCGGCATCCCTCCCTTCCCTTCCCTTCCCTTCCCCAGATCCAGGTAGAGTTAGATCTCAGATACCATCCCCTGGATGGTGCTGCTGGAGCTTGGACTGAGGAGGACTTTGTGTCTCACATCAGAGACAGGTATTGCTCTCTCATGCCATCCCTACCTGCAAACACTCCTTTCCCTGGATCTGAACCCCTCGGATTCCCCAGGAACACTGGCAGGAAGGGTGGGTGAGACTACAGATTCTAGACCCCCCTTCTAGACAATAGTGTTTTGGCTCCAGACTCTCCCAGGTTCTCACTGGGTGGGTAGATGTGGATACCTGTTCTCAGTTTTCTCTGTGTCTCTCCTTCACTAGCTCAGAGCTGACCATCCAGAACGTGGGCTTCCAGGAGCTGGAGTGAGTGGACAGGAATGGGGGAGGCCCAAAGCTGGGAGATGGGGGGAGCTGGGATGGCTGTCTAATGCGCTGCCTGTGTTAGTGTCCTTAGTCCCCTGTTGATCCCCTAAATTCCCTCAGTTCCCTCAGCCCTCAGGCTGTGGGGCACGTGTGGTGAGAAATGACAAGAACATGTGATCCCAGACCCCAGGAGTCAGGTGGGCTGGATCGCCGAGCTGCTGCCTTGGGCCAAAGGCTGGCTCAAGGCCTGGGCCCACCACAGGAAGAGGAAGATGATGAGTGGGATCTGGAGGAAGAGCCGGAAGATGAAATCTCAGGGGTTGTGTTCAGCTCCATCAAAAGGTAGGAGCTTTTTTTTCCTGGGCAGGTGCAATGCTGAGCAGGATGAGGCAGAGAGAGAGGTCCTTGGGCTAAGGGGGGTTATGGTCCCCCTGGCAGAGATAGGACTCACACTAACAGGAGACTGATGAGAGATGACAAGCCATGCTTTTATGACAGATGAGTAGGACAGGAATCTGGGCAGACTTCCAAGAAGACATGGTGCCTGAGTTGATTCCTGAAGGATGGGTAGGATTTGGACTGACAGAGAGGAAATTTGAGGTAGACTCAAAAGTAATTTCTCAGAAGCCTTGGAGGGAAGGAGAAGAGGCTGTATGTGCTGGGAGAATGGGATCTCAGCCCTGCCAAGCTGGCCTGACACCCTGTTTTCTGCAGCCGAGCCAGGGACATCTCTAGAAGAGACCCCCACCAGGTGCCCAAAGCCCAGGCCTTCCAGGTACCGGGAAGGTGGTAGGATGTGGGGTGAGAGGGGAGGTAGAATTTGGTCCCAGGTCACCTGCTCCCTCTTGCTGACAGCCCCAGGTCTCCCCTCAGACCCTGAGTTTCCCCAAGGGGTTAGGGGCAACGCTCAAGCTGCTCCTCTCTGGGCCCCTCCTTCAGGTCAGTGTCACAGTTCTAGAGGCCCAGAAGCTGGTGGGAGTCAACATTAACCCTTACGTGGTCGTGAGGGTAGGGGAGCAGCGCCGGCAGACTGCCAAGCAGCGTGGGACCAACTGCCCTTTCTTCAATGAGGTGTCTAGAGTGGGAATGAGAGACACGGGGAGACAAAGGGAGGGACGGACCGGGCAGTGGAAGAGGAGGGGCTAGGAAGTTCTTTCTACAGGGAGGGGGCTCTAGGTGCCCCCCCTTTTTTTTACTCTTTCTTCTCTCCTCAGCATTTCTTATTTGAGTTTCATGCAACCAAGGAGCTTCTGCAGGAAATGCTGCTGGAGATCACGGTGATGAGGGCGAGCCTGGGGGAGTGGGCATGGGCAGGACAGAGGGGGTTACCTTCTGCTGGGACTCACCTCCCTCCAACGCTTTCCCCCCACATCCGCAGGTGTTCCATGCGCAGACACTCCCCTTTCTGGCCACTCGGATAGGCACTTTCAGAATGGATCTGGGCCTCATCTGCGAACAGCCGGGTACTGTGCCCCTCCCTTCCCACCACAGACCCCCGGTCCTGGACTGTGTCTGGCTTTAGGGACCTCCCCACTCATCTGACCTGAACCTGAACACTTTCCTGACGTGGGACACTGAGCCCCCTCTGTCCCCGCTCTCTGAGAGCCTAGCTAGCTAGCACTCATCCCTTTCAAATAGCCCACCCAGCTCAGCCCCTCTCCCAAGTGACCCTGAAACTGACAGGGACTGAGACAAATCCGGAGCACTTTCTCGAGATGCTCCCTTTGGACCGATACCCCATTTCTCCACAGACAGCCACTTTTCCCAGAAATGGGCTGTGCTCCACGATCCCCAGGACACCCACGCTGGAGCCAAAGGCTTTGTCAAAGTTACTGTAACTGTGACGGCACGGGGGGAGTTGACCCGGCCCCTCCCTCCATCTCCACCAGGCCACAGTCCAGATATTGAAAAGTAAGGGCAAGATCTGAGGAAGAGGGCATGGGTGGCGGATGGAGTCAGGGCCTGAGAGGGGCCAGGGCTGAAAGAGGATTAGATTCAGGGACTTGGGGTCTTAGGGAGCTGTGACTTGTCCAGCTTCCTTCTTCCATGCCCTTCCTTGTGCCTCCCACCCAGGAACCTGCTGCTGCCCAGAGGGTTCCCAGCTGATCGGCAGTGGGCACGTCTCAGTGTCCGTCTCTACCGGGCGAAGGGTCTCCCTGCTCTCAGCCCTGGACTCCTGGGTGGCTTGGTCCGCATTGTGCGAGACCGACCAGTCTTAGTGGATCCTTACATTAGGGTGTCCTTCTTGGGACAACAGGTGAGCCCATTTCCTTTCCAGCTCCCACCCTCCTTCCCTCCTCCTCTCAGAGGCAACACCTGAATGAGAGGCTCTAGGGCCAGCCGGGTGCAGCACTTGGTGCCCTCTTCCCCTGCCCATATGCCCAATGCCCGTCAATGAACACAATTGCAGGGGGAGACCTCAGTGCAGAGTGAGACCACAGACCCTGAGTGGAACGAGCAGTTGAACTTTGTGGAGCTGTTTCCACCTCTCACCTCCCGAATCCGCCTACAGCTGATGGATGATGCTCAAATGGGTGATGTGCCCATTGCCACCCATGTCCTGGATCTCAGGCAGATCTCCCACCCAGGCCGTGCTGGTGAGCCCCCTACTCCCAGCCATTCTCCTTGTCCCACAAAGGCTCTGTGGCTCCAGAAAATTAATAGGCTCGTAGATGTAGAGTTGGAAGGGACCGTAGAGGCCACCAAATCCAAGCCCTCATTTTACAGATGTCCACGATTGCACGGCTGGTATTTGAGGTGAGATTTGAAGTCTTCTAGGGTCCAGGTCCTGTAGCCCATCTAGTACACCATAGCGTATCACCAGATTCCCACCCTCCTACCTCAGGACACTAGTTGGATCTTGATTGAGCCCCTGTTCTCCCTCCTACCCCTCTTAGCCCTGAAAACCCATCCCAGACTTGTCCTAGCACCTGTTTTCCGGAAGTGTGTCCCTCAACATCCCTGGGACAGCAATACTTCGATCCACACTGATGGGCACCCCCTGTCCCTCTCTCTGCAGTGGGGTTTAAGCCTACCTTTGGTCCCACCTGGGTTCCTCTCTATGGTTCTCCCCCAACTGGGGGCCTTCGGGATAGTCTGCAGGGCCTCAACAGTGGCCAAGGCCGAGGTGTATGGTTCCGGGGCCGCCTGCTGCTAGCCGTGGGGCTGGAGATGTTTGGGGGTGGGGCCCGTCCTGAGCCCTGCCAGGTCCCACAAATCTCTCGGATGGCCCAGATCACCAGGAAGAAGAAGAAAGGCCGAAAAGATCAGGGCCCAGCCAAGGAACCTGAACAGCCCAATGTAACCCAAGATGGGCCAGAACTGCCCAGTACCATGGGAGTAGAGGTGGAAGAACTGTATCCGCTGCCTGAGGTAGGAGCTAGGGGCTGAGAATGGGGGTCTTCCTTTCCTGTCTGCCCCTGGACATTTCACCAGTAGGAAAATGTAATCTTTGATGGGAATAATAATAGCACTTATATAGCATTTCAAGGTTTGTTATAGTTGTTCATTCATTTCCATCATGTCTGACTCTTTGTGACCCCATTTGGGGTTTTCTTAGCAAAGATATTAGAGTGGTTTGCCATTTTCTTCTCTAGCTCATTTTACAGATGAGGAAACTGAGGCAAAAAGAGTTAAGTGATTTGCTCAGGGTCACACAGCTAGTAAGCGCCTGAGGCCGATTTTGAGCTCAGGTCTTCCTGACTCCAGGCCTGGCACTCGATTCACTGCTCCACCTAGCTGCTCTGCTTTAAGGTTTGCTTTACAATTATTATCTTGTTTTTTTTTTTTTCTCACAACAACCTAGGGAAGTAGGTACTATTATTATCCACATTTTTTTTTTACAAATGAGGAAACTGAGGCAGATAGAGGGTAAATGAGAGCTAGTAAATGTCCAGGGTCACACAGCTAGTTAAATGTCTGAGAGTAGATTTGAACTCTTGCCTAATGCTCTATCTGTTGTGCCATCTAGCTGCCTCTTTAAGAAAGAGTATTTTAAAATGCAAATTGTTCTAACAGAAGGCCACACTGAAAACCATTATCACTGTAGGTAAGTTAGTTCATTAAACATGGGATCATGGGGCTGGAAGATACCTCAGAGGTCATTTACAGATGAGGAAACTAAGTGACTTACCCAAGGTCATATAGACTGTACGAGGCAGAGAAATGGGATTTAAACTCAGGACCTCTGATTCTAAATCTAGCTATCTTGCCAGTGTATCATGCTGCCTTTTGGTTGCCTCTGTCTAAGGGTCTCTGATCCTGAGGGAGCAGGAGTCTTGAAGGTGAGGGTAAGAGAAGATAACACTAGCTAACAGAACTCTGCAGGGAAGAGATGGCCTGACTGTGGAACCGAGTGTTTGGCAGGAAGTTCAGGAGGTGGGAGAAAGGTCCTGGAAGGGGAGCGACCAAAGAAAAGCTCTATCAGCTTGACATTACACTGCTGGGGATGGGGGTGGCTGCGGTGGTTCCAGTTCCAGTGTCTTGTCTTCTTTCCATTACCCAGCAAGCTCTGGCTGCCTGTGAGGATTTTCTGCTCTTTGCTGTCCTCTTTGAGGCCACTATGATTGACCCTTCTGTAGGCCCCCAGCCCATCAGCTTTGAGATCTCCATTGGTACAGTATCTGCCAGCATGTGCTGTCCATGCTGACTCCTCTAAGTCCCTGGAGGGTGTGAATCTTGGCCCCTGTGGGATCTGAGCCATGTTCATTGTGGAGTTGACTGATGGTCACTGCAGGGGGATCAGAGCCATGGTCATGTGGAAATCTGAGCTATGGTCAATGGTGGGGGCGGGATTTGGGATCTGATCACTCCGGGGCTTGGAGTCATGGTCACTGGTGGTTTGCATGACAATCACTGGGCCTTCTGAACTGTGGTCACTATGGGGTAGGGGGTGCTGGCCGTCAGGAAGAATCGCTGAGCCACAGATCACAGGGCAGAGAAGTCGAGGCTGGAGCCAGAATGGACGCTCAGACTGGAGAGGCCCAGCCTCTGCTAGAACTAGACCCAGAACCTGAGACCAGACCAGAGCTAGATGGGCAGGAAGGACCTGAGGAGCTGATGGGAACACTGGGGCAGCGGCCAGAGCCCATGGAGGGTGATGGGTAGGTCTACTGGACTGGGGCAGGGGTCAGTGAGTTCTGGCAAGGCAAGTGGGATCCTCAGATGGCCCTGCTGGGGGTGAGGGAGAAAGAAATAATAATACAATAATAATTATAACACAATAATACAATCATAGGAGTCGCTCACCTCTGAATTCCTTCAGGCCCTACCTTTGCCTGCCCCTACGATATGAGAAGCCATGTATTCACGTCTGGAGTCGCTGGGAAGACCATACTTGGCGCCTTCAAAGCAGCAATTGCATCAAGAAAGTAGCAGAGAGACTGGTAAGGGACAGAGCCACAGTGGGGAGGTGTCATGCTGGAGATGGGCCCCAGAGAAGGGAGCCCTGGAGTGGGGCCCCGGACGAGGCTGGGCCTTGGAGACGAGGGTCTCAGTGTCCAGGTCTCCCTTTTCCGCCGTGTTGTACAGGATCAGGGGCTGCAGGAGACAGAGGGGCTGCTGAGGAGGCCAGGACCAGGGGCATGGCTACGGCTGCGACAGGCCCTGGAGGAGCTGGTGGCTGGGAGCAGGTGAGAGGGCGCCAGAAGTCTGCGGCCCCCGCTGGGCAAAGGATTGTCCCCAGGTCACGTGGCTAGTCTGTGGCTCAGCGGGCTTGAACACCTCAGGGCGTTTCTCTCCCTCCTTCCTCCATGATGGCGCATCACAGCTTACCAGCTATGCTGACTTTGTTCCAGGGTGTTTCCTCCCCCTGGGACCAGCTAAAGGATCACAGTGTCATATCAATTAGTCAATAAGCATTTATTAAGCACCTTCTAGATTCCAGGGGAGACCAGGACAAAAGCCAAACAGTCCCTGCCCTCCAGAACCATATTATGGAAATATCTAGAGCAGCAGTTCTCAAACTTTTTGGTCTCCAGACCCATTTACCCTTAAAAATTACTGAGGAACCCTTCCCCAAGAGCCTTTGTTTATGTGGGGTTTTATCTATCAATATTGACTTATTCAAAATCAAAACATCTTAGTATTATTAGGAATCAAGAAGACCTGAGTTCAAATCCAGCCTCAGACACATACTTCCATGTCCAGAACTTGGTCCCCTCTCTCTACTCTGGAGAGTAGCCTCATGCCCTTTAAGGAAAGAATCTATAGACTCCTTGATGCACTGAAACTAGAGGAATAAAAGGCCATATTGTGCCCCATCCCAATAATTGAACTAACTCAGTCTTAGAGTTCAGGGGTAGCTGGGTAGTGCAGTGAATAGAGCACTGGGCCTACAGACACAAAGACCTGAATTCAAATCTAGCCTCAGACACTTACTAGCTATGTGACCCTGGACAAGTCACTTGACCCTGTTTGCCTCAGTTTCCTCATCTGTAAAATGAGCTAGAGAAGGAAATGGCAAACCACTCCAGTATCTTTGCCAAGAGAACCCCAAATGGAGAGTTACAATGAATTGGACATGATTATAAACAACTAAACAATAAGCAACAATGTTTAATTCTTCCTTTTTTTTTTTCCCTTCAGGGATCATTTAGACTTTTTCCAAAACAGAATTAACAGAAAGAGACATTTTAAAATTACAGGACACAAAGGCTTATAGGACTTGGATTCATTTTGTTTTACTGACAATCTTCCCCTAAGACTCCTGTTACCCTCCCTTACTTCTTACCCCTGTAACCCTCTCCTTATAATTTCTGTGATCTCCCTGACCTTTCCCCACAAATTCTCATAACTTCCCTGATCTCTCCTCATGATTCTTGTGACCTCAGTCACCTCTCCTCTAAGAAGTACTAATCTTCTGGTCACCCTGACCTCTCCTCATGAACTTCAGTGATCCCCTCTCCTTATAATCCCTGTGACCTCAATGACCTTATCCTGTGCTCCCCATCCCCAGGCAGTACTATAGAGGAGTTGAGCGAAGGACAATGACCCGGCCCAATGCTCTGGATCGGAACCGCAGGAAGCTGCTGACTCACAGCATGGTAGGTAGAGAAGTAAGGGGAAGGGAAACTGGGGGATGACCTCTGTTGAGCTATCTGTCACTTAGTTCACCTTCATCTCGAAACACAGCATCCTCCCCTACCACAGCCCGGAGCCTATCCCCATCCCTGTCCATCTCTCTCACTTAGGCTGTAGTTGCCCGGCAGGGCCTGCGCCTCCTTGGAGGTCTGAAGCCCAGCAATGTGGACCAGAAGGTGATGGAGGCCAAGAAGATCCTGGCCAAGCTATATTTCCTCTTCCAGGAGGTAATGAGAGCCTGCCCTGGGTGGGGTGGGGGTGGGGAATAACCTTTTCCTAGTCATTATGATTTTAACAACAGTAGTAATAAAAATAGCTCTTTTCCTATTGCATTTTATGATTTATAGAGTACTCACAAAAACCCAGTGAAATAGGTTGTGCAAATGTTACTTAACCCATTTTTACAGATGAGGAAACCAAGATCTAGAGAGGGGAATTAACTTAGTCAGGGTTACAGTACTAGTGAGTGACAGAGAGAGAACTGGTGCTTGAACCCAGGTCTCCTGACTCTCTCCCCAGGCTCTTCCTCCCTCCCTCCCTCATTCATTCCTTCCTTTCATTCTGCCCTCTTTCTTTTCTTCTCTCCGTCTTTACTTCCTTCCCTCCTTCCTTCTTTTTTTCTTCCCTCCATTCTTCCCTCCTTTCTTCCACCTCTCTTTTTTATCTCTCTTTCCCCTTATACACGCTTATTGAATTTTCTTCCTTTTTCAATTAACAAACATTTATTTTCTCTGTCTCCTGCCTCCCCCCTCCCCTCTGAAATGTGACTGGCGGGGAGAAAAAAACTCTTAGAACAAATACGTATAGTTGAGCAGAACAAATTTCCACATTGGCCACATTCAAAAACATGTGTCTCATTCTGTGTCTTGAGTCCATCACTCCACATCAGGATTAGTACTTAGGAATCACGGTTAATTATCTCATTGATCAGAGTTCCTAAGTCTTTCAAAGTTGTTTGTCTTTATAATGCTGTTGTCATTGCATAAATTGTTCTCTAGTTTTGCTCACTTCACTTTAGTGGTTCATATAAGTCTTTCCAGGTTTTTCGGAAACTGTCCCCTTCATCATGCCTTGTAATAGGCATGGAATCTATTACATTCTTATATTGTAATTTATTCAGTCATTCCCCAGTTTGACATCTCCTTAGTTTCCAGTTCTTTGAAGAGCTGCTATGAATGTCTTTGTACATATGGAAACTTTTTCATAGATATGGATCCTATGGTTAATTTCATGACTTTTAGGGCATAATTCCAAATCTCTTTCAGGGCTCCTTCCACTACTCCACCTGTTTGAGGTATCATTCCTCACTATCTCTGGTCCCTAGAGTGTTACCCTTCACTATCTCGCAGTCTTCTAATTTCTTCTAGCCCCAGCCACCTCTCCCAGATGTGTTGGTCTGGATGTTCAGCGGGCAGCGGCGTGTAGCCCTTGCTCGGATCTCGGCACAAGATGTGTTATTCTCCATGGTGGAAGAAGAGCGTGGACGGGACTGTGGACGGGTCCAGAGTCTGCTGCTCACCGTGAGGGGCCTGGGTGCAGGGCTAGACTTGGGGTGAAAGCAGTGGGTGGGAGGACTGTTGCAGATCACAGGGCCAATCCAGAAGGCAATAGATTTATTTGACTGAGCTGGGCTTTCCCTTTACTGCAGGTGCCTGGAGCTCCTCCTGGTGAGGTCTGTGCCAAGCTGGAACTGTTCCTGTGGCTGGGCCAGGGCAAACATGCCAAGGCCTGTACTCAGGAGCTTCCCCCAGAGTTGCTACCCCGACCCTTGAGAGGGCTGCCTCACACCTTACACAGAGATGGTAAGCTTACACTTGGAAATGGGGTGGAGATGGAGGATCCAGCGACTAGTACCTGGGATCAGGGTGCTGTTTCTCTGACAAACATGGCTTCCTTCTCATCCCTAGACTTCAGCTACTTTCAGCTCCGAGCTCACATCTACCAAGCAAGGGGAATCCTGGCTGCTGATGACAGTGGCCTCTCTGATCCCTTTGCCCGTGTCCTTATCTCCACACAGTGTCAGTCCACACAGGTAAGGGCAGCACTGCTCCTCCCCCAAACCCTAAATAGTTGTAATAGGATAATAGAAATGACTGACCTGGAGGATGGGGTTGAAACTAGTGGGTTGGCCTAAAGCTGGATCTTCAGGGGTCAGAACTAGGTCCATTTTGGGGGAGGGGCAGTATGGAAGGGCTTGGCCTCTTGAGGTAGTTCCCTATATTCTGAGGCGAATGGGGAAGGGGGGGGTTCAAGGTGCAAGGCCAAGGCATTTCATTTATCCTCATACTTAGTCAATTAACAAGCATTTATTAAACAACTACTATGTGCCAGGCACTATGCTATACTCTAAGGTTACAAAGACAAAAGATGATATAGGCCCTACCCCTGAAGAGCTAACACTTTAGCTAAGGAAGACATGTTGTATATATTATATTCTGTTCACTATTTGTGATGTTTATAAAAACTTCATTAGGTTTAAAAAAACTCATTAATTACTAATATTTACTAACATGAAGAGAAAGACAAAAGACAAAGAGAGAAAGACAAATAGAAGAGAGGAGAGATGGAGAAGAAGGAAATGAGGGAGACAGAGAGAGAAGAGAGAGGAGAGGAAGAGAAAAGATAGGAGAGCAGGAGAGACAGAAAAGAAAGGAAAGAGAGAGACAGAGAAACAGAGAGGGAGAAGAGAGAGAAAGATCAATAAAAGATAGATAGATAGACAGAATTTATTAAGCACTTTCTATTTGGCAAATACTGTTCTAAATGCTGAGGATACAAATAGGCTAAGTGTATAGTCACTGTCTTCAAGGAGCTTACATTCTAACGTGAGAAGACGATGCATAAAAAGAGGACTAGAAAGAGGAATAGGACAAGGAAGAAAAATGTGAAGCGTCAGGAGCAGGGCCAGGAGTGATGTGAGCACCGGTGGCTTGGGTTCCTCTTGAAAGCTTAGGTGGGGTTCTAAGTCAGAGACTCACCAAACAGAGGAGAAGGCCACAGGGAGGAGGCACCTCTAAGGTGAAAAAGCTGCTGCTGAGAAGGTGGAAAGGTTTGGGGAGTTGGAACTGGAGCCAGGAGAGAAGTGAGCTCACTCTCCAAAAAGCTCAGTCTCAAACCATTTCTGGTTCTTTCCACTGCCCTGTACTGAACTTAGTTTAACCTTAGCCTATAATCTATGTGACCTTGGGCAATCCTCTTAACCTCTTTGGGGGTCAGGTCAGTCATCTGTAAAACGAAGGGACCTCTGAGCCCCCTTCCAGCCCTATGTCTATAATTCTACAATCATAAGATCATACTGGGGGAGAGTTTTAGCCTTGGAGTTGGAAAACCTAGGTTCATCCATGAGCTCTGATGCTTCCTAGTTGTATGACTGCCGGCTAGGCAATGCTTTCTCCAAGTCTGAATTTCCTTAACCATGGAACAGGAACTAATACTTGCATTATCTTCATTGCACTAACCCACAGGATTGTTGTGAAAGTATCACTGTCAACCTTAAAGCGCCAGAGAGATAGGAACTCTCAGCATTCCCTGTGCTCTGCAGGCTTCCTAGACCTTGTGACTTAAGTGGCTTCTTTGTTAAAGGACTTTTTCTCCCTCATAATGTTTTTAAAGATAATTTTAAAATTTAAAAAATCTTTTGTTTTTACATCATCTGCATTTCTTAATGTACTCCTCCAGTCTTTCCTCCCCTTATCTATCAATCAATCAACCAACAAGCATTTATTAAAGCAATTATGCTAAGTTCTGAAGACACAAAGAAAAACAAAAACAATCCTGGCCCTCAGAGAGTTTACGTTCTAATTCTAACAAATATAGAACTGTAAGGGGCAGCTAGGTGGCACAGTAGATAGATCTTTGGCTTTGGAGTCAGGAGGACCTGGGTTCAAATCCGCTTTCAGACACTTGAAACTTACTGGCTGTGTGAACCTGGGCAAGTCACTTAAATCCCCATTGCCTCACCAAAAAACAAAACAAAACTGTACTTATAAGATAAATACAGAGGAAATAGAAGGTAGAAAAAAGAATAAAAAGTATGTGTGTATGTATGTACGTACATATGTATGTTGGGGGGGAGGGAAGCACTTCAGCAAAACTAACTCACACTTTAGAAAAGTCTGACACTATTCCACACCCATAGTCCCCCATTTCCCAATTAAGCAGAAGAAAAGATGTCTTTTCATTTCTCCATTTCTCTTCTTTGGGGCCAAGCTTGGTTATTATAATTTTGCATCATTTTCCCCATAGCTTTTAAAACATATTTGAAGGGACAGCTAGGTGGCGCAGTGGATAGAGCACCGGCCCTAGATTCAGGAGGACCTGAGTTCAAATCCAGCCTCAGACACTTAACACTTACTAGCTGTGTGACCTTGGGCAAGTCACTTAATCCCATTGCCTAGCCAAAAAAAAAACCCAAAAAAACCATATTTGAAATCACCAAGTTACTAAACAGAGATCCACCCTCCAGGTGAAGCTCTGACTGTTTTTTCTGCCCTCTCCTGCAGTGCTTCGGTCCACCCTACCCTCGGTTATCCCTCCCTTCTCTGTCTACCCTCTGTATCTCTCTCAGGTCCTGGAGCGGACGCTGAGCCCCCTGTGGGATGAGCTCCTGGTGTTTGAGCAGCTGATTATAGATGGGCGGAGAGAACAGCTTCCTGCTGAGCCACCCCTGGTCACCATCAATGTCTTTGATCACAACAAGTTTGTGAGTTTGTGTGTGTGTGTGTGTGTGTGTGTGCATGCCTATACATTTGTCCCTGTGGGACTTGGCCTCAGTATTTAAGCCCAGTCCAACCCAATTGCTACCACAGCTACCACCATCCCTGTTGCTGGCTCAGGTGTGGGTGCTTCCCCTGCCTCCCTGGACCCTGGTCCCTTCCATCTCCTGTCCTCTGTCAGAACCTCTAGCTCTTGGTCCTCCCTTCCCAGACTCCCACCCTCTCCTCCAAGCCTGGACTGTTCTCCCCATAGGGTCCTCCTGTATTCCTGGGCCGGGCTCTGGCAGCTCCTCAGGTAAAGCTGATCGAGGAGCCCTACCAAGGCCCCGAGCTGCAATTCTTCCCCCTGACCAAGGGTCTCCAGGCTGTAGGGGAGCTCATCGCCACCTTTGAGCTCATTGAGCTGGATTACAGCAGTAGACTTGAGGTAAGAGTGGGATCCTCAGACACGGGCTTGTCTCCCCTCCTTTTCTCCCCTCTTCAATAGGACTCACCTCATTCAATTTAACAACAGCTTTAAAGTTCCAATTGTCAAAGAATTAATTTGGTACTCTCCATTTTCCTGGCTGAACCAAGACATACTTATTACCAGTGCAGACAAGGGGAGAGCAGGACCATGGACAGGCAAGCAGGGCGTCCAAGGCAGCCTCGTTCTCCAACCAACTGGGGGAGAGTAGGCTAATTTATACTCACAACTGGGTGGAGAAGACAAAGAATGCATTGGGATGGTACAGAGCTGAAAGACTGGGTGAAAAAAGTAGTGCAATGCTGGGAGAGGGAGAAACAAAGTTAGGAGATTCATAAAGGTTTAGTTCGTGAGACAGTGAGCAAATCATGACTGGGCCATTCTAGGCACCAATCCTGCTAGATGAGTAGGAGCTCTCCCTTGTCCTGACCAAGGATTGCATTCTTTTCTAGGGGAACACAGTTTTCTATAGTTTCTTTATGTTAACACCTTATCTACTAAGAAGCCTTTAAAGTGATTCCAAGCTCTCTAGAAGCACAACAAAATAAGAAAAACCTAGGGTTTTTATTCCATATTGTATCCTATGCTCTATACTTCACAGAGAGGGAGAAAAAATTATATAAAGACAGGATCCCTGTCCTCATGGAATTTATCAGGGGCATGAAACACCAACTCAGGTAACTATGATATATAGTATTACATAAGAAGATGAGAGAGGAGCAGAGAAAGGGGAAATCCAAGGCAGAGAGGCTTTTGTGCCAGTAATATGATTCCAGGGACACACACACACACACACACACACACACACACACACACACACACACACCCCTATCCCTCACTCCCACCCCCAGAGCTCACATGCTTTGACTATGTCCCCCTGGACACAATTCCCCAGTAACTCATTCCCTGCTTGATCCCTACCATATATCATCTGCCTTCTGCCCCTTGTTCAGCCCTCAGTGCCAGAAGATGTAGAGCCCCAGGATCTGGAATTTCTGCTTGACCCTACTTCTGGACATCTCCATCTACCTCCAAGGGTACGACCCCTGCTCAAGGAGTTCCGAATTGAGGTACCTGGGACCCTATAGCCCCAGCTCTACCTGCCTCCTACCCTGGGGCTCCTTTCCCAGAGTCCCTCTCCATAAATCCCCCAAACCCATTGACTGACCCCTTGTTACCAGTTTCCCCCTTCCATAGCTCCCCTAGAATGATGCCCTCTCTCCCTCTTCATGGTGCTACATTTCACCTCCCCTCTACTCTCTCTCTCTCTCTCTTTCACACATACAGGTGTTGTTCTGGGGTCTTCGAGGGCTGGGCCGGGTACATCTATTTGTGGTGGAGCAACCTCAGGTCGTGCTGGAAATTGGGGGCCAACATGTGGAGTCTGAGATTCTTACTAGTTACCGAGAGAACCCCAACTTCACAGAACTGGTCAAGCATCTGACTGTGGTGAGAGGCCATAGGAAGAGTGGGAGGTATCCTTTCTCCAGGGTTCTTGGAATTCCTCACCTCCAACACCCCTAGAAAACTCTCTGAGGTATAGGAGGTCTGATTGGGCTCATACTCTTTGATCTCTTTTGGGGCACCAATTCATAAAACCTCAGAATCTGTTGGGAACCTACTAAAAGTTGGTCCATCCATTCCCTTTCTTGACTTAGGATCCCTCAGGCCCTCTGAATTCATAACTTACCCCTTGGGTAGGTTACCAGAACTGTCTTTCTCTCTCAACCTTCAAACTCACTACACAAACATACGTCCTGAGCAGAGTAAAGGGATCCCCTGAGTCCCAGTGACCCCTCTTACTCCTTGTGACTTTCCATTCCCTTTCCTTACTCCATCCAGGAGCTCCCTGAGCAGCCATATCTGCAGCCCCCACTCAGCATCCTTGTGGTCGAGCGCCGGGCCTTTGGCCGCACTGTTCTCGTGGGCTCCCACATCGTCCCCCATGTCCTTCAGTTTGCTCTCCAGGAGGCCACAGAGTCCTCTGAGGAGGAGGGGGATAGGGGACTCCAAGGTGAGTGACCTTTACCTTCACAGAGCCCATGACAAGACTGGCCAGGTCAGACTTGGCCGATATTTGGGGCCCAATTCCTCCTCAGGAAGGTTGGTGCTGCTGCCTTTGCTTCACTGGTCTTATCCTACTGCTCCTTCTTCTAAACCCTGCAGACCCTGGGGGTGCTTAGCCCCTTCAAGAGCATTTTCCCAATGTCCTTCCAAGCTCAGCTTCCTCCTTCCTTCCTTTCTTCAACCTGGCCACCATTAGGGCCTTCCTTCCTTCCTTTCTTTCTTTCTGGTTACAGGATCATAGTGTCACAGATTTAAAGCTGAAAGCTTCTACTAAAGTTCTCTTTTCTTTAACTGGTATAAACAGCGTCAATCAAATGTAGAGAATCACAGAAACTCAGAACTGGGAGCCTAGAAGAGCCCATCTAGTCCAACCTGTATCTGTATCCAACAAGTAGCCATTCATCTTACACTTAAAGATTTCCCAAATGTTGGGGAATTCTCTCACCCTCTGGGAAGAGGCAATCCTGTCAGTGGGGGGGCCAAAGTTGTTATTGCTGCTCAGTTATTTCAGTTGCATCTGACTCTTCATGACCCCATTTGAGGTTTTCTTAGTAAAGATACCGAAGTGGCTTGCCATTTCCTTCTGCAGTTCATTTTACAGATGAGAAAACTGAGGCAGAGTGAAGTGACTTGCCCAGGGTCACACAGCTAGTAAGTGTCTGAGGCCATATTTGAATGCAGGAAGATGAGTCTTCCGGACTCCAGGCTTGGCACTCTATTTACTTGGATATCTAGCTATCCCACCTCCCAAACCCCACCCCACTCCATGACTGTGGGTTAAAGATAGGAGGCCATACTGAAAGTAAAGGGATTTATTAGGGTGCTAAGGAATCTGTTCTCACTGATAGCAGATTTGTGTTCCTGGAGTAGAGATTTGTTGTTTAAAACCCATCAGCCCACCAGGAGTACACAGCCAATCAGCAGCATTCCTCAGCAACTTAGAATAGAAAAGGGAGAGGTAGGGGTGGAGAAGGAGGAAGAGCACTCAAAGGAGAGAAGGAGAGGATTTGGAATGCAACTGGCTGGATTTATTATCAGAGCCAGAACAAATTCAAGGTCAGGAGACAAGGGGAAGAAACTAAATACTTTTACAATCATGAAAGCAGTCCTTTTAGATGAAACCACTAGGTCTCTTATCTGAGGACAGCAAGCGCTTGTTACAACAGTGGATAAGACCTTGCGTAAGAGTTCCCCAGCGAAGGGGATTTCTACATTGCTAGTCCATCCAGATGTTGCAAAATAATTTGAGTCCTATCTTTCTTCCCCACATGACAAAACTCATTCACTCCTAACGCAGTTCATTCTGTTTCTGGATAGCCTAGATAGTTGGGTTGTTTTTTTTTTCCCCTTAAAACAAGGTGAGGACTACTTTGTAACTTCCAGCTTTTGTCTTTGAGCCAAGGAGGACTGATTTAATTCTTTATCTTGAAGACATCCTGGGGATGTTAAACAAAAGAAGTCAAAACAGTAGGAAAAAAAAGTGATTATGACTGATAGTATAGGCCAGGAGCGGGGAACCTGCGGCCCTTGAAGGCCATATGTGGCCTTCTAGATGCTCAAGTGCAGCCCTTTGACTGAATCCAAACTTCGTAGAACAAATCCCCTTATAAATCCTCAAGTTAGGCCCTTTGACTGAGTTCAAGTTTTACAGAACAAATCCTTTTATTGAGGGGATAGTGCCACATAGTGGCTAGAGTGCCAGGCCTCAAGTCAGGAAGATGAGTCTTCCTGAATTCAAATCCTGCCTCAGACACTTACTAGCTGTGTGACCTTGGGCAAGTCACTTAACCCTATTTTCCTCAGTTCTTCATCTACAAAATAAATGAGCTGGAGAAGGAAATGGCAAACCACTCCAGTGACTCTGCCAAGAAAAACATCAAATTGGGTCACGAAGAATCAGACAGAACTGAAATGACTGAACAACATTTATTAAAATGGCATAGGAAGAACAGTAATTCCAAAGTATTTTCCCTAATTCTTCTACAAATAATCACAGAATTGGGTGGGGAGTAAGAGTGGAGCACAAACATAAAGATGGTGGTATGACACACATGTTGGGGACACGGTTTCCAAGGCAACTCACAGCTCCAGAACTGTGGGATCTCAGTGTCTTTTCTTTCACTGGTGTGTCCTCGGGACGTTCTCTGCAGAACATGGTGTTGGTGAGAATGAGTCGCTCTGATGCTCAGCTCTTCTTGAGCCTTATAGGGGCAGAGTTTTTCAGCCACATGGGTCCCTTCTGCTAGATTAGGCCGAGCAGGTTGCTTGGCTGAGGCGAGGTGCCGCTCCTCCGGGCTGGACAGGTCACCTGGCCACCGGGCTCTTCTCAGGAGGCAGCATCTCTCTGGACTCAACGACCTCCCCGGGCTTAGTCTTATCTCAGCAGGGTTGTGTCCTGTGCTCTTTTCAGCTGGAGTGTTACCATGCCCTTCAGCTAGGGCAGTGACCCTTAGCCCAGGACTGGCCGAAGCCTCCTCTCTGACTCCCTCGGAGGCTTATGTCACCTCCGTACCAGCTGTCTATCCTTTCCCACTTACCAATCCCAAAGCTGGTTCTCTCCACCTTGGCTTATGAGGATCGGTCCCAGTCCCATCAGTTACACATCCCACACTCCTGTCGGGGTCTCATGCAGATGAGGAGCAAAGGCAGAAATGAAGCCTGAGCCCTAGAGGCAAGTTTGCTGTCTTTCCTCTCCTCTTTACCTGTAATAGAGCTGTTTAAGCCTCTTGTTCAGCTGTGGCCAACTCTTCATGACCTCATTTGGGGTTTTCTTGGGAAAGACACTGGAGTGGTTTGCCATTTCCTTCTCCAGCTCATTTTTACAGATGAGGAAACCGAGGCAAACAGGGTGAAGTGACTAGCTCAGAGTCACACAGCTAGTAAGCCTCTGAGGCCAGATCTGAAACCAGGAAGATGAGTCTTCCTGGCTCTAGGTCCGGCGCTCTGTGCGCTTTAAGCCTGACTTTTCCTAAAGTGAGGAATGGTTATTTTACCTTCTTTACATTTCAATGTTTCTGACTTTTCTCCACTTGCAAACTCACTGGGCCACCCTCTTTTTTGTAGTCTCTTCCTTTCCTGGTCTGTTCCTTTTCAAGACTGTGCCAGCTTTTGTCATTTATTCTCCATGACCTACGCTTTGTTTCATCAGTGTTCCTTTCCAAATCTACATCAGTCACTGAGTTCACTCTGTGGCTTTATCTGCCTCCTTCTATGACACTTCTTCCTCCTTGGAATCATTCATGTCTATGTCTTCAGAATTTTATTCCTATCCCTCCTGGATCTCCTATCTTCCGCCATAGAATTTTAGACCGTGGGACCTATCCTTTCTCTGAACCCTTTGATACCTACCCTCCCAAAATCTGAGGGGGGGTGGGGGGATGTGGACTATGCCCTGCTTTCCTTTTCTTCCCTGTAGTGAATTCTGAGATCCAAGGATCACTATCTCCCAAGAGCCTCATCTTTTCTACTGTAGCAACTGTAGCAACAAATTCTTCCTTTATTGGTCAGGATCATGCAGAAAATCAAAGTTCTCTCAGGGGCAGCTAGATGGCACAGTGGATAGAGCACCGGCCCAGAAGTCAGGAGGGCCCTGAGTTGAAATCTGGCCTCAGACCAAACACTTGACACTTACTAGCTGTGTGACCCTGGGCAAGTCACTTAACCCCAATTGCCCCCAAAAAAGACCAAAAAAAAAACCAAAACCAACTTTTTTGTCACTTCCTCTGCCTTTGGAAGACTGAAATTATCATTAAATCAAGTAAAAAATGTATCAGCTGCTCAACTTTTGGCAGAGAGAGAGGAATAGGAAGAGAGAGTGAGGGAGGGAGAGAGTGAGAAAGAGAGAGAGGAAGACAGATTCAAATCCAAAAGGTGCAGAGGTTTCTACTGCTTTTGAAAATCTGCTCCTGTCATGTAGATTTACATTTCATAGTGATCAGGAAACAAAGACAAAAGTCTGCAAAGAGAAAAAACAAAGATACAAAGTTCAATTTTAGAGTTTTTCAATTTACTGAAACAATAGAAATGTTAATATTTAGAGGAGCTTGGAAATGATCTGTCTTCCTGCAACTCTAAAGGTCCTCTTGATTTGGCCTGGGGTGAAACTAAGTGGCATTTCTTTTGATTAATAAATTTACTTTCTCTCTTTATCCTCTGCCTCCAAAACAGAGACTCTTCTGCCTTTTTATGTGCCTTGGATCTGTTTGGCCTTCCAGTGAAGCCTGTTGACCCTTTTTCAGAATAATGATTTTAATTGCATAAAATAAAATACATAGGGCTACAAAGGTAACTAATTATATTGAAATATAATCAGCAAAAAAAATCTTTTAAAGTTCATGGGCCACAGGTTACTAGTCCCTGTACTATCCTACTTGGTGATCTCATCAGGTCTATGCAGATCATTCCCAGATCTATATATTCAACCTTAATTTCTCTTCTGAGCTTAATCTCACACCTCCAATTACCTTTTAGTTAGGAACTGGATGTCGCACAGGTATCTTAAACTCAACATGTCTGAAACAGAGCTCATCTTCCCTTTCCTATTACTGTTAAAAGCAACATCATCCCCGCCCCACCGCCACCAGTCATCCAAGCTCAATGCCTCAGTGTCATCTTTGAGATGTTTCCATATATTCTAGGAGCAAGAGCCTCAAGTCCCCTTTCATTGCTGTTAGCTTTTGTGGAAAACTCTTATGGTAAATTCTAGTTTTTTACTCCTCTTGTCTGCTGTACTGGGGTCTCTCAGTCACTGTGAGAGACATTATGCCCTTCTCACCATCTGAAACTAGCTTGTTCAGCTGCTTTAGACAAATAGAAGATTCTCGTCAGGCCCTAATACAAACTGCTGTCTTCAGCAAGAGGGTATCATACAGAGATCCAATTACCAGCCACGTTGTACCTCTTCTGATTCTTTTTTTCCATTGCTAACACTTCAGATCTGGCAATAGCACCTGTACCCTTTTATAAAAAAATCCATTTGGATCCCCGGGGGTCCCTACTCAAAGCTATAGAATGTCAAGCCCAACTCCCCCATTTCACAGATGAGAAAACTGAGCACTAGAAAGGAAAGTGATTTTCTTATGTTCACATAGGTATTGAGTGACTTAACTGGGATTTTTTTTTTACAAGCCAAATTTTAGTTAATTTTTTTAAAGCATAGACACTTTTTTTTTAGTTCCATATTTAATCCTTTGCCCTCCTCCCTTTTCCCTCATTCAATGGCAAGGAAACCAAAACAATTACAAATATGTGCAGTCATGAAAAACATATTTCTGCATTAGCCATGTTCCAAAAAAGAATGAAAGAAAAAAGAAAGGGAAAAAATATGCTTCAGTCTGCATTCTGAGTCCATCAGTTCTCTATCTGGAGGTAGATAGCACATTTCATCACAAGTCCTTTGGACTGTGGTTAGTAAAAGTCATCAAGCTTTTTTAAATTTTCATTTAAAATTTTTATTTTCGGTTCCAAATTCTCTCCCTCTTTTTATTCCTTCTCACACCTATTGAAAAGACAAAAAATATGATACCCATTATACATATGAAGTCATACAAAACATATTTCCACGTTAACTATGTTGTGAAAAAAATAACTGAAAAATAAAGAAAAAGAAGAAAATTCTTCAATTTGCATTCTGAGTCCATCATCTCTATCTGGAGGCGGATAGCATTTTTTGTCATGAGTCCTTGGATCTGTTGTTAGTCATTATTTTGATCAGTTACAAAATCTTTCCAAGTTGATTATCTTTATAATTTACTGTTATTGTGTAGATTGTTCTCCTGCTTCTGTTCACTTTAGTCTGTAACAGTTCATAGATATCTTGGCAGGTTTTTCTTTTTTTGGGGAGTGAGGGGGAAGGCAATCAGGGTTAAGTGACTTTCCCAGGACCACACAGCTGGTAAGTATCTGAGGTTGGATTTGAACTCAGGTCCCTCTTGATTCCCCGGCCAGTGCTTTAGCCACTGAGCTGCCTAGTTGCCTCATCCCAGGTTTTTCTTTTTTTTCTTTTTTTTTTTATTATTTTCTTTTTTTAATTCCAGGTTTTTCTAAAACCATCCCCTTCATCATTTCTTATAGCACAATAGTATTCCATCACATTCATATACCATAAATTATTCAGCCATTCCCCATTTAATGAGCACCGCCTCAGTTTCCAATTCTTTGCCACCGCAAAAAGCTGCCATAAATACGTTTGTGGGTTTTTTCCTTTTTCTTTGATCTCCTTGGATATAGCCCTAGTAATGGTATTGCTCTGAATTGGGATTTAGACATAGGTCTCCTGCTTTCAAGTCCAGCAATTTTTTTTTTCAAAACTGTGAGCTTGGCAGTCAGCATGGCTCCTTGTGCTAAATTAACCCATCTCTAACTTCTGATCCTGACTCCATCTGGAGCCAGGACATGGAAGATTATAGCATCCATCTTCACTCTTCACCTTTTAGTCAACATAAGAATCACTTTACCTCTGAGAAAACCACCTTCTCATGGGAACCTAGTTATCTTCCGCTTCTCTATCCCTCTTCCCCCACCCCCAGGACAGAAATATCTGGATTCCCCTTTGGTGCAGCAGCCGCTTGGAGCTGGGACTTCTCAAGAGCTGCTGACTGTAAGGAGGAACCCTGCAGGGGAGGAGGAGGAGGAGAGAAAAGGATCAGTCCCAAAGCGGGGAGACTCACTCCCCTTTCTCCCCCAGAAGCCCCTTAGGAAGCTGCCTCGAGGCAGCCTCTTGGAGAAAGGGCAGCAGCTCCAAGAAGACGTGCCTGAGCTGAATGAGCTGGATTGGTGGTCTAAGTACTATGCCTCCCTGCAGGAACTTGGGGACCAGGTGGGACGTGGACCAAGACAGGGAGGGGACTATGATGGGACAAGGACATGTAGGAGCCGGAGGGTAACTAGAGTATGTAAGAGGGGTCACTTGTCTCCCTCCTACCCCCCATGATTTCAGATGACCATGGATGAGGAAGACAATGAAGATAATGAATATTCAGGTGAGGGACCCTTGTGCATCTCTCATTAATTGCCTTATAAACTTGACATCTCTGACTGAATTATTTCTCCCTTTCTCAGATGTGCTGAACCCCTTTTCTGGGGACATGGAGGCTCAAGATGGGTCCAGAGTTAAAGCTGTCGTCCCAGTATCCCAGAGAAAACCAATTGCCACTCTGAAGGTGCTAGGGGCTGTGGTGGGGTTGGGTGTGGGGCAGGGCTGCGGAACCTAGACCGGACTCGGTAAGGGACTAGAGCGTATAGGTCTCTTGGCTGCACTGGGTGAGGCTCTGGGTTTGGGCTCTGGGCTGAGATGGGAATCCCACAGATCTACAGCTCACCACTGGAGGATGAATTTGGCCAATTTGAGGACTGGCTGCATGTGTTCCCCCTGTACCGAGGCCGTGGGGGTCATGATGGGGATGGAGATGAGGACAGGCCTGGATATCCCATGGGCAAGTTCAAGGTGCCAGAGCTGTGTGCCGGAGAAGGGGAAGGGAAGACTAGGGGAAGAGATAGGGAGAGGGAGGGAGAGACCCCTTTGTCCAAGTGTTAGTGAAAGAATTCTTTATTCTACTCAGGGCTCTTTCCTCATTTACCCTGAGTCAAAGTCACTCTCTGAGCCCCGAATTTCACATGGGATACCCCAGAACCATCCCATAAAGCTGCTTGTTCGTGTGTATGTTGTAAAGGTGAGCTTTTTCTAGTAACTCTTTCTGTTCCCTCACTTCTCCTTCATAAACCGCTGACTCCCCACCTGGGTCTCTGGTCGCAATCCTCCATTCCTGACTTCTGATTTAATCAGAACCTGTTATTCCTAGTCCCCCAACCTCCCCTCACAACCCTTTAGGCCACCAGTCTGGCCCCGGCAGACCCCAATGGCAAAGCAGACCCATATGTGGTGGTGAGTGCCGGCCGGGAGCGCAAAGACACCAAGGAACGCTATATCCCCAAGCAGCTGAATCCCATCTTTGGAGAGTGAGTGAGGCGGCAGACTGCCAAGGATCTGATGGAGCTGGGCTCAGTTGGGAATGCATAAATATAGCCGGTCCTCTGGCCATGCTGGGAAGGGAACATCCCAACAGGCAGAGGCCCCGGAGCTCAGTCAGGATACTTAGTATGTCTCAGGCATCCCATCTCCTTCCCACTTGCTCAGGGTGCTGGAGCTAAACATCTCCCTCCCTGCTGAGACTGAGCTCACGGTGGCTGTATTTGACCATGACCTTGTGGGCTCTGATGACCTCATTGGAGAGACTCGGATTGACCTGGAGAATCGATTTTACAGCCACCACCGAGCTAATTGTGGACTAGCTTCCCAGTATGACACGTAAGTTCAAGGGTGTGTTGGGGGCACTAGATGGTTCTGTAGGGGCCAGTGTACGGGGCAGGGAACCTGCTCGTATCTCTGACCTTTCAGTCTTCAGTTAAGTAGCCTAGGTTGGGCTGCCTCTCTCTGTGGCCCTAGGAGCCCTTCCACGGTCCATGTCCTTTTCTGAGTGATGTTCTTTGCAGTTGTCTTAATGATGCCTGTCCACACTATATCTCAGTCAAGCATGTCCACGTTTCACTTCCCTATCAGTCATGCATGTGGCCTTATTAAGGTCCTTGTCAAGTCACATGTCTACATTCCATTTTGCCAGGTTAAAGTACACTTCTGCATTTCATGTCTGTATCCTGTATCTGCAGGGAAGGCTACAATACATGGCGGGATGCCAACAAACCTTCTCAGGTGCTGGCCAACCTGTGTCAACGCAGTGGCCTCCCTGCCCCCGAGTACCGCCCTGGGGAGGTCAAAGTGGGCAGTAAACTCTTCCAGGTACCTCCGGGGGCCACCTCTGCAGGTAACATATGCACACACCTAGACTGGTGAGGGAGGTGGCAGAAGTCTACCTGTGGGGTCTATTTTACTCCTATTCCATCATGGGCCAGGTGGGAGGGGCCAAGAGGCCAGCACCAAAGTCTGCGAGGAGGAGCAAGCCCTGTCTGTGTTGCTAAGATGGAGGGAGATGCCCCAACATGGCCGTTCACTAGTGCCTGAACATGTGGAGACCCGGCCCCTATACCACCCCAGCAGTCCGGGCCTGCTGCAGGTGAGAAGCTTCCCCTTCCCATGCTGCTTGGCATGTGAAGTATGACTTCTTTCTTTCTCATGCTGCGAGGAAGAGACGGGGGAGCTCAACCCTGACTTGTGACCCCACCCTAGGGTTTCTTGCATATGTGGGTAGACATTTTCCCCAACGACGTGCCAGCTCCCCCCGTTGTGGACATCAAGCCAAGACAACCAATCAGGTAAAGGAAAGAACCTTAGCACCCGTACACACGACGCGCACAATGATGAGGGTTTTAGGGTTTCTCTCCTTGGCCCTTCTCCCAATTCTTCCCTACAATTTGGCTCCCAAGTGCCTGACCTCCCCATCTCTCCCAAAGCTTTGGAGTCAGATTTGAGTCTTGCCTGACACACAAAGTATGCCTGGACGAAAAGCGTTTAACCTCTCTGTGTCTCAGTATTCCCATCTGGAAAATAAAGGGGTTGGATTTGGTGATCTCGGAGTTCCCTTCCTGCGCTAGCGCCATGATCCTGTGTTCCTGTGAGACATAAACAGCAACAGAAAGAGGGGACAGAAATAGACACACATATAAGGAGAGAAAGAATTTAACAAACTCGTCACTTAATAAGGCATTAGAGGGAATCCAAAATTTAGAGAAGATGGGGCCCCTGATGTTATGAAGCTCTTAGAGATAGAGAAATAGATGGGAAAACAGACAGAGGGACTGAAGGAGAGATAATGTAGCTGTTGACCTGTAACTATAGTAATGCCCCCTGGGCAGGTGGAATCCTAGATGACTCCATAAGCCCCAAACTCCCATTTTTATTGGGGGGAGTCATTAAGGTGGAGGGAGCTGGGGACAAGACCAGGTCAGATTTTGACCAGTGTGGTCTTCTCTCCGTTCCCCAGGAGAGAGCCCAGGCACCCGGAAATCCCAACCCACCGAGACTAGGTCCACCTGGAGACAGAGTGCAGTGGGTTTGGGGAGCTGGGTCTGTTGGATGGGAGATGTGAGGCAGAGGGGGTGGAGGGCAGAGCACCAGCAACGATGCTTCTGTGGGATTAAGGCTGACCTCTTAATCTCATGGAAGGGATGCTTCCTTCAACTCTCTTCCTTCACACACAGCTACGAGCTCCGAGTTATCATCTGGAATACTGAGGATGTGGTCCTGGATGATGTGAATCCCCTCACTGGGGAAATGTCCAGTGACATCTATGTGAAGAGGTGGGGGACCCCAAGGCAGTGCAGACTAAGGGTGGGGGAAGCCAGAGCCCAGGGCCAGAGTGGGCTGGGGGAGTCATGCAGGGTTCGGACCAGTGCTTTGATGCCCTGAGTCTGAGAAGCTGACTGAGGCCTCTGAAAATGTTATCTCCTCATGCTCTTCCCTATCCCCCATTCCCTATCCCCCAGCTGGGTGAAGGGTTTGGAATCTGACAAACAGGAGACAGATGTCCACTTCAACTCGCTGACGGGGGAGGGGAACTTTAATTGGCGATTCGTGTTCCGCTTTGACTACCTGCCCACCGAGCAGGAGGTGAGCGTCAAAAGAAAACCTAGCCCCTTTGCCCTGGAGGAGGCCGAGTTCCGACAGCCCGCGGTGCTGGTCCTGCAGGTCTGGGATTATGACCGAATCTCTGCCAACGACTTTCTGGGTATCAGCCTTGACTTTTGACTCTTTGTCTCCCCTAAACCTCACATCCCCAACCCTTGATCCTGGGACCCCTAATTCTTCTTGCCTGGGATCTGATTTCATGTCATTTAGCTGTATTACCAAGAAAACTTCATCAACAGTAGGATCCTTGGGATCTCAAAGAGTCAGACATGACTGAACAACCAGTTAGCTTTGACCTTGATCCTACCAGCTTTGGAGCCGATCATGACTTCTGAGTCCTGATTGACCCAAGCTTTGTTGCCGTCCCCAGGGTCCCTGGAGCTACAACTGCCAAATATGGTGAGGGGTGCACGAGAGTCAAACCTGTGCACCATTCGCCAGGCCCATGAGAGGGCCAGACCCCGCTGCAGTCTCTTCCGCTCACGGCGAATGCGTGGATGGTGGCCATTTGTGAAGCTACGTGAGCCTGAGGATCTGGAACGTGAGAAGCGTGAGGCTGAGAGCAATGGGAAAAAGAGGAAGAAGAAAAGGAGGAAGGCTAAGCCAGAGGACGTGGAGTTCATTGACTCCGGTGGAAATGTCTACATCCTAACGGTGTGTGGGTGGTGTTGGCTTGGGGGGGGGTGGAGCATGGGCAAAGAGCGCAGAGGAAGGGGGGATGGGAAGTGGTCCCTGCAGAAGTCATTCATCCTCTTTCTACCCTATGCTACCTAGGGGAAGGTGGAAGCTGAGTTTGAACTGCTGACTGTGGAGGAAGCTGAGAAACATCCTGTGGGAAAGGGGAGGAAAGAGCCCGAGGCCCTAGAGAAGCCCAAGTAAGTATAGTTAGGCTGGGAAAAGTTTGGGTTCTTTGATCTGGTGGAAACACTGGAAGGAAGACAGATACTGGGGGGGGGGGGGGCGCGATCTGGAGGTGGACCAAGGCCTCAACTCATACCGCTGTCCTCTCTCCCCAGCCGCCCTAAAACCTCCTTCAACTGGTTTGTGAATCCACTGAAAACCTTTATCTTCTTCATATGGCGCCGATACTGGCATATCCTCGTGCTGCTGCTGCTCCTGGCCCTTATCACCATCTTCCTCCTCCTAGTCTTCTACACCATTCCTGGTCAGATTAGCAAGGCCATCTTCCGCCCCCTCCACTGATCCCCAGCCACATCCTTCAAGGTTTTGTTTTATTTTTTAACCCAAGCAAAAAATTATGCTGGCTCAGTCATCACAAGGACAAAATCTGTTATAGAATAAAACTTACCAGTTAAATCTCATGGGTTGTAGAGAGCACTTTAAATTTTTTGTGCTGCGGGCTTGCATAGAAAGTGAGTGTTTCTGCATATAGGTTTAATTACAATTAATCACCAAATGAGGCATTTGTGGGCTCAGCTTTAGAGAGAAGAGGATCTCTGAGAACCAAGAGGATGCTCTGAAGCCACTCCAGAAAGTCCTAGTGCGTGGGCTGAGGGAGGACTGAGGCAAAATTTGTGCAGCCATGCTGGCCCAGTCTTTCAGCTGCCAGTCTATGGATTCCAGGCCCTCAGAATGGGTCCTTTCTGGCCTTCAGATTCTGTCTTGTCTTACTTTCTCTTAGTTATCAAAGTCTGGCGCACCTGGGACAGGCTTGAGGGAGGAGAGAGCCCGATAGACACTAGGGGAGTGGCAGGTGCAGCCAACTCACAAATCCACGTCTCACATCTAGTTTCTCATTGGTAGGTCCCCTTTCACTTCCCTTTGGCATGTTGCACTGGAGGACTTTGAAGAGATGGGGTGGCAGGGAGCACTGGGCTGATTTCTAGGGAGCCGAGAGAGAAGCCCTTAGACCATCTCTACACGGAGACCAAGCCCCCACCATTGTTCATGGTCTGAGGGGGAGAAGTAATTGCAGAATTCAGCTTATAGAGATTTGGTTCTCCTGCAATGAGGGACATAGGTCACAGTTAAAGTGGAGATTAGATACCTAATATAGTGAGTACATATATTCTGGGAACTAAAACTAATCCTTTTAATCTTGGGCCCAGAAGGGATTTGGGGGAGGAAAAGGGAAGGGATGCTCCAGGTTACACATATACCCGGGAAGTCCCTGAAATGTGTGTTGGCAGGTGGAAAGAGACATGTCTGACATCTCACCAATATCCACCCTCATTCCAGGTAACTGAAGAGAGGAGATTGTCTATTTCTACAGGCAATTCTTTTTTAGCTACACAAAAGGAAAAGAAATAGAGGAAAAAAATAACTCACAAGACAACAGAAAAATTTTTAAAAATTATTTCTATTTAGTTTTGAAATACAATATGGTACCTGACATTTGGGAAATTACTTTTCAACCAAACAAGTTGAAGATAAGTCCTTATCTTTAAGGAAACTGTAGAGGCAGGAAGGTCCAGAAAGTTGTTCCATCTTGCTTATGCTCATCAATCCCCTTGTTCCTCATTCACTCCATGTTGGGAACAGACAGCGTCACCTCTCAGGTGTACACACAGCAGCAACCTTTGCAATGTCTTACTTTTGTCTGTTTCATACTTTTCTCTGGGAAAGTTTGATTTCCCAGCTCTGTTGGGAAGTGGGCTATATGCAGGTGAATGGAAATCCTAGAGAAGTCAGTCAGTGAAGGGCTAAGTTGAGGTGACAATGTCTGCACTGTGACTAAGGCACAGATGGAACCCAACTGACATTAGGGATAGCTGGAACTCCCAATCCTTCCTCTCATCCAAGAGAAGCTATGGGATTTGCGAATTTTCCCTTCACTCTCCCTTCTCCTCAGCTTCCATCCCAGTCTGAGGCAGAACACAAGAGGGGAAAGGGGTTTAAACCCTAGGTCAGAAGCTTGGAGCTTTTTATTTCCTTGGCTTCCTTGTGCTTCCCATCCCGTGACCACCCCAATGAAGGAGTTAGGGCGAACATTTCCTGGGGGGAGGGGTATCCCCTTCAATCCCCCTAATACAGGTTGTGAACAAGGATGAAAGGATCCCATTCCTTGCTAATGCCCCGTACTGGCAGCTGGTTTCAGCTACTCTTCCAAGCTCAGTTCCTCCCCCAGCCTCTGGAAGGAGCTGGGTAGGGCCAGACAGAGGTGAAATTTGGAAGACCAGCATCTCTGGGAAGGGGTTCACATTGCTCTGACCTCTGGCAGGTGATTCCAGTATAAAGAAGAGCTGGGTTATGTGGGAATATAAAAGGAAAGACCAGGAGGGAACCTCCTTTGAGACACAGGACCAGCAGGGGGGCTGAGGCAAAGGATTATTGGGATGGGGGGGAAGACACACTTAGACCTCAATACCATCACAACACACAGTTTTACCAACTCTTGGGGGGGCAGGGTCAGGAGGGCAGAACAAGTCTCATAGTTTGAGGACAGCATTCATGAGGGGGAGGGCCTGTGCCACAACTAGGAATTCACACACTGGGAGACCAAGGCCCCTAGAAGATAGGGCTGGGGTCATGCAGCTCCTGTGATTATATTGCCTTTCCTAATTCGATTTTCTTCTGGATGGCTCGGGCAGAGTGGTAGATCAGGGAGTCGATGAGTCCAGCGACTGGGGAAGAGGTCAAGTCCATTACTAGAAGGCAGTCCAGTCCAAACTGTGCTTGTCCCTCCCACAATCATGGAGACTCAAGGGCCATGTTCCAACTCTCCCTCCTCCATTTCCCCCCTCCTCAGATCTAGGGACAAACATCTCAAGTCTAGGCTGGGAGGAGCTGGTGCACTCCACAGAAGGCCAGACTCACCTGTGAACATGCCTCCAATGATGGCACAGACACCAGTGAGGAAGTGTGTGAAGGACCTAGGTGGAGGAGTAACCAGTGTGGGTTGCTAAAAGAAACTGGAGAGAGGACCAACTGTGGCCCACGCCCCCTCCCCTCCCCATCCTCACCTGTGCTTCTCTGTCAGTTTGACCATCATGGGTGACAGCTCGTACAGCACAAAGACTCCAGGAAGCCCCTGGTCCCCAATCAGCCCATTGGCAACTTTCTCATGTCTTGTCACAGAGAACTGATTTGTCCTCAGCACCTGGGGTTAGGGGGAGAGGAGAGGAGCAGTGGCAAGGATATGTCTAGCTCAACTTGGTGGTTGGTCAGTCAGTCAGTCAACGAGCATTTATTAAGAGCCTACTATGTGCCAGGTACTGTGCTAAGTGCTAAGGATACAAAGAAAGGAAAAAAAACCAACTAGTCCCTGCTCTCAAGAAACTCCAAGTCTAATGGTCCAGAAGATGCTTTCTAATAGGTAGATGGAGCCCAGGGCAGTCAGGTTGTAGAGCTGGGGGACTGGGTACTCTGACTTACCTCCCCATTCACTTTCATGTATACTGTGGGCACTACCTTCACAAAATACTGGAACATCATGGAGGCTGTGAGAAGAACAGAGGAGTAAACTCGAAAGCAGGGCAACAATTGAGACAAGCCTGCTGACCTTATCCATACAAACATCTTTAGCCACCCACCTTGCCCCAAGAGGAGACCTAGAATGGAACCCCCAAGCCATCTCTCCTCCGTACCTTGGAGGGCAGTGATGTTGGTATTATCCAGTGGGTTCACAATTCCTGGATAATCTTCCCCAAAAGACAGATGTTGTATGTAGTGAGTCATGTTGATCTGGAGATACCAACATAATGTTCTGGTCACACAAAGGGGGTGGTCCCAGATCAGAGAAGACCAATGGCATCCCAGAGGGAGTTACAGTGGCTTCAAACCCATAGACAGTCGCCAGCCTCCCCACGAGCCCACCCTGTTGGGAAGGGCTGCTGAAAGCTGATTGGTTCCATTTATTCCAATGAACTCAGGGATCTAGGATTCACTAGGATCAGCAACAAGGGTAGGGGGTGAGAGGGTGGGGGTTCTTCTTCCCCCTTCCCAGGGGAGTCAATCCTTAATGACCCTAAAAGCCCAGAGCCCTGGTCAGCCTCTGCGAGGTGCTTACCACCTAAGTTTAGTACCTACATTGTCTAGTCCAAAGCTCTGCAGGTCATGAACTAGGAAGAAAAGGAGAACAGGTAAGTGGGCATGGTTAAGATGTAACTTGGTATCCTCAGGGGCTGCTTTCTGACTTTCTTCCCCAGGAGTATGGACTTCCCATCCTTACTGGTAGCCACTTCATTCCCCAATCCATGATTTTCCAAACCCCTTTCCAGTGGGGATGGAGAAGAGGGAAGGCCTCTTCTTTGCACCCTTCCTCTCAGAGAACGGGAATGTCAGACCCCATTTCCTAGGATCACTTCAGCTGAGGTGAGGGTGCCCTTCTAAAGTGGAAGGTAAAGTTATTGAGAAAAGTCCTTCACATTCTAACTTCCTTTGTGGGAACACAAGTTCATAAGTTTGGACCTTTCGTTATTGGGTCAAATGACTAACTGATTATAGGATCAAAGTGTTAGAAGGGGCCTGAAGATACCCTCCAAACTAATTCTTTGCTCTAAGAACCCTCCAGATGAACTTAACTGCTGCCAGGCCTAGGTCCTTTCATAATTCTCCTGGCCCCAGTCTCTTATGCTGTAAATAAAGATCATTGTCTTAATCATACACACTTTTATCAACTGCTAGAGACTCAGCTTAACCTCTGCAAGAAAAGGTGCAGAACCCTCCAATCCCCAACTCCTGACAGCAGGACATGCTTAAGGAAAGTATGCTCTCACCCTGATGGGGAGGGAGGAGGGTTAAGAGTTTGGCCACTTACTCTCCACAGCATGGACTGCAGCATGGAGGGGAAAAGGGAAAGAAGAGAAAAGTGAGATCCAGAGTTTTATAATGACAGTCTGAGAAACATGGCTTGTATGTGTTAGAACATCTGCCATTAAGAATCCTAGGTGCTCAATTCTGGGTCCTGAGCCCCACCTCACGTCCTAGAGTTGGGCACAGGTAGTGATGGACAGCTTAGAAAGGACTTTGGACCCCTTCAACCTGGCTCTCAGACTCATGAAGGGGCAGAACATGGACTAGGTATCAGCTTAACTAGCTCCTGTCCCCTTTCAGATCCCAGTATCTTCCCATCCCAGCCAGATAGGCCACAGTCCCATCTCCAGAGCTCGGGAGGGAGTAGGGAAACTCACTTCACTGAGATGTACCATACCATCCCCTGAATATAATAAACTCTGACTTTAGGACAGCCCCACACCCTTTTGTTTTGTTTCCCTAAAGACAACTTAACTGTCCTCCCCTCTCCTGGGTGCTGATTAACAAGGAGATAATTAAGCTGCCTCCAGCTTATGTTCTGGTGA